TGGCCAGCAGGTCGAGGGAGGTGATTCTGCCCCTCTACTCAGCTCTGGTGAGACCTCACCTGGAGTACTGCGTCCAGCTCTGGAGCCCTCAGCACAAGAAGGACATGGAACTGTTGGAACGGGTCCAGAGGAGGGCTACAAAAATGATCCGAGGGCTGGAGCACCTCTCCTATGAGGACAGGCTGAGAGAGTTGGGCTTGTTCAGTCTGGAGAAAAGGAGGCTACGGGGAGACCTGATTGCGGCCTTCCAGTACCTAAAGGGGGCCTATAGGAAAGATGGGGAACGTCTTTTTAGTAGGGCCAGCTGTGTTAGGACAAGGGGAAATGGTTTTAAACTAGAACAGGGTAGGTTCAGGCTAGAGGTAAGGAAGAAATTTTTTACAATGAGGGTGGTAAAACACTGGAACAGGTTGCCCAGAGAGGTAGTGGAGGCCCCATCCCTGGGAACATTCAAGGCCAGGTTGGATGGGGCTCTGAGCAACCTGATCTAGTTACCAGTGTCCCTGATCACTGCAGGGGGGTTGGACTAGATGACCACTAGTGGTCCCTTCCAACCCTAAACATTCTATGATTCTATGATTCTATGAAAAGCAACAGAGTTATGCTTTCATGGCAGTTTAATTTATACGAACACAATCATTATACAAGATCAAAACACCTTCAGCTTGCAGGCCATTCTGGGTAGGAGATGAGGCACTTCAGAGGTAGGCACCATACCCTGAAGTTTCCAAGACATCCCCCATCGCTTGGGCAATTCTGTTCTCTTTGATTATACTATTCTGAGCCAAGGCTAAACAAGAAACACAGCCATTTCCTCTTACAGATCATGGGCTAATTTTTCCTTACAAAACCCCAACCTACATCCACAGTTACTTACATTTCAGAGTAGAAATGTTCCTGTTCACCTGGTTGAGGTCCTGAGATCTGTTAAGTGGGACATGAATGACAATGAAACAAGACAGGGTCATTTATTTAATAGCGGCGATTAAAAACACAAGTTAACTCTCTTTCATCTTCTACTGCAACACAAGTGTGGAAAACCCCTTTGCTGAGGAATGGTTGCAGCTAAAATATGGCCATGACCATGGAGAATTTAGTGTATGTACACACACCTGGTCACTGAGATCTCCAGGAGACACAGATCTTGCAGAAGATTTGACTTCTCCGGGAAACTGCTAACATCCCTCAGTGGACTGACAAGCTTGATATCGGTTGAAGACTGTTCTCTGAATTCCCTTTAAGGATGCAGTGGGTATGGGGCTGCTCTATGTAGTAGGCGGGAAGCAATGGGCAAACATTACAGAGGATTTACTGAGGTAGTAGTGGATTGATACTGTGCAACTCCAGCCTAGCAGAACACACTGAGCTGCTGCCACCAAGATAGGAAGGGGTGATAGCAACAGCAGCTCACTAAGAACAGGCTTTCTGCTCTATCCTGGCATAAAGGTATCAACCTCTCACCATTTGCAGCTTGGAGGAAAAAAAAAATAAAATAAAAAAAAAAAAATCGATCACCTGCACATAGTCATCTTACAGCTTCACAGTGAGACAGCTCTTGTCCTATACTCCTCATTCCTCCAGCACTCTGGAAAATCAATGGTACGTACCTTGCCATAACTCCAGGGAACCTGGAGATTTAAGACAGCATCTTTCTGCCCAACAAAACAGAAAAAAATCAAGCTAGGCCACACTCATTTTATTGGGTATAATGAGGGAAGTCCAAGTGCTTGGTGCAAACACTTTGGTAATTAAAGAAGCTGCTTCCCCTGGCACTTATGAGACAACTCTGCACTACATAGACAGCACATAGGAGTGATGTCTTTGTCAGACAGAGACGGATCAGCACTGCAGAGATTAAAGCAAAGATGACACTGGTCACCTCCAGCATGTAGCCCTCTGGAGGGGACAGAGAGGCTACTTGGTCCTAGACCTAGCCATCCCCACTTGGCCCTTTGCTGCCTCCAAGGAGGTACTACATGAGTTCTGCGATACAAACCACTGCACAAGCAAACTTCTCAACAGGATCCTCAGACATCTTCCTTCAGCTTACATTTCTACTACCAGCTGCAAAACGGTTGGAAGGGGAACATAAGATAAAACAGGTTAACAGGTTATTCAATTAGGCCATGCCTCTGCCAAGGGGCAGAACATTCGAGGTAAATTCAGAAATTTTTAAGTTTACACATTTATGTTGTGAACAACCCAAAGGTCTGGCTTTGCTTGAAAAGCTGAAAGCAGGCTGTGATAATCAGCTGTGTGATTAAAGCATTTTAACAACATCCTATACTCCAGAAGACCTCAGGCCATGTTCTGCAATATCAGGAATTCTCAGGTTGCACATCGAAAGTTTTATTTTCAATATGAAAATACGGATGGTTATTCCCCAGGTGTGCTCACGCAGAGGGCAAGAATCCTCCTCAGGGAACAGATCCGAGAGGAGCCTGCAAGGATTCCTACAGTCGTAAACAGAATTTGCTACTTAAGAGTGGTGGTCCCTCCAACTGCAAAGGGCCTTGCTATTAAGGTAAATGAATATGGTGAAATTAATACCAACATGAGTGCAAAAAATTAGATCTGCAGTTCTGAAGTTAAACTCCAGTCGCAAACCCCACTTCCCACAACGGCACATTATAAACACCAAAACATGCACTTTTAAACAGAACAAGTATAAAACAAGTGTACAAATCTGTAATAACTCAAACTTTATTGTAAACGATTATACAATGTAATTACATCAGATACCCTTAAAAGTTTAAGGTTACACCACTGACTAAACAATATGGTCCAAACAGAGGGCAGCAGAATGCAGCTGTTGGTTTTGCTCACATAGGCTATACTCTGAATTTACTTACAAACAAACCCAACATTCAGTTTGAGACTGATACCCACACGCAAGACAAAAACACCTACAAAAAGAGTCCCTTTTTTAAAGATACCGCAGTTTTACTTTGTAAAACCATAGTAGTCATTTTCAGTAATTGAACTGGAAACTTTACCTAAAAAAGTTTGCACGCCTATGCTGTAGATCTACTCTGACTTGACGTGGCTGAATTTATTCACTTTCATTACTGGTTTCTCCTGCAAAAAGCACAGCAAAGTTGCAAACATGGGTTAGTCAAGCACAGTGGCAGAAATTCCTTGCGATGCTCAGCTCAGCTCTCAGCAGAGCGTGAGAGCCCACACCTCCCTCCCCAGGCACAGCTGGAAGCGGAGCAGACACCTGCCGGAGGGGATCACTTTGCATTGCTCTAATTTGCAACTCAATTTCTGAGTTTTCCCTGAAGAAAAACTATAGTACTTTTTAGTTAGCAACATTAACACACAGCATTTACCTACTTAAAGTAAGACAAGGGGACCTGAACATATTAAAGCCAGAACTGGAAAACCAGGTATGAGACAACACCAGTGTTTTAGATTTATGCAGATGTGTCACAGGTTGGATACTAGAAACAGTTAATACATTTAGGTTGACCACCTGTGGTAAATTTGATCTCCACCAGGACTTCTGTCTCTCTTCCATCAGTTACAATCCCTTTCTCTCACTTTGGCATATACTACATAGCTTATTTTCATTAAACGGAAATACTTTAAGCACAGCCTGAATTAAACCTTTGCTATGAGTTGTCCTGAAGTACATTTACCAGGCATAAATTTAGAGCGCCAATTTGAGGAGAATGCAAATGTTGCCGTGTTGTAGTATTAATGGACCAACTCTTTATGAAAAATTTATTTCAGACTGTACTGCCAGTACATTGCAATGAACAGTAAGACACAGTGAAGCACTAGGCACACACTTCCTTCCCACACATACAAGCTCTTCAGGCAAAAGCACTTGTCCTACTTGTATCTACTGCAAGAATTCCAATTTTTACCTTACAAAGAGGAAAACTGCCAATGTTACATTTTCCATCCCTTTCACATGATAACAAAGAATGAATAGAAAAAAGTTTTGTTATTTAGCTAAGGTTGTGAATAAAATTTTGTTCTTAGTAGAGAAAGTTAGAGCTGTTTTTTCCCCTCTGAAGATACGCTCCTCCTGTTACTACTATAGTATTTAAAATACTTCTGTCTCTTTGGCTCATAGTGCTTTACTACATCATCTCGCTAGGCATATCAAAATCTCAATCCCAGTGACATTTCAGCACTTAAGACAGGAAAAATTAGGCATTCCTATACCTTTGCAATAATCATCTTCAAGAAGCTGCTCCATAGTGCTTTATACTGTTTTGTACTTGTCAATACGTTTGAGGTCTGCTCAAAACAAATGTTTTACATGATTAAGGCCATAATTTTATACTGACAATTCACAGACTAAACATGAGACTAGAAATAGAAATAACTTTGATAATTTAAGTAACTAGAGAAAAGAAGGGAAAAGGAAGATAAAATAAAAGCTCGTATAATTAAATTTGTGTGCGCTGCTCAGTTATCTCTGATGGCTGACGAGGGTAGCAATGGCTGTGCAGTGGCATGTAGCACATGTTGAATAGCTTTATTTCACCATCTGAAATAGAACAAATCCTATGCTAAAAAAAATAAATGCTGACATTTACAACAAGAGCCAGTCCTCGCTCTTAAATCCCTTTGGAAAAGTGAGCTGTATGAGACTATCCTGTTGATGAAAATGAATTCCTTGAAGTACTGTGCTTTTGGAGATATGCGCCCACCCAGTGGCAAATAGTCAAAAGAAGATGCAAGTCACACAATCAGTGAAAAAACCCAAAAAGTCCTAAAACAGAGGCAACACTGAATAGGGACATTTGCCCCCCACTCCCTCCCTTTTCAGGATAACTCAAGCTTCCATTGTCACTAGTTTCTAGATTTAGTCTAAAAGGAACACTAGTACTTAAACTTATTGCAGTTATTACACTTCAGTGCACAGTAACAGAGGTCAGTGGCTCAACTAAACTCGCAAACATTAGGTTTGGTAAAATGTCCCTTCTAGCTGGCTGGACACGGCGAGGTGTACCTGAAGTCTCAGAACATTGTGTTCACCTCGGCAGCCAAGCAGTGAAAAGGAATGCTGGAATAGTGAAAATAAGTACGGGAGCGCACAGTTCAGTATTTACTAAGGCCCAAGAACCCCATTTAAGTGGTCTGGATAATAAATCACATTAAGACCTAGTAAATCTATAAAAAAATGTAAAAATCTTAAAAAGTTCTGAGCAGTTTTCCAATGAAACTGTTTGGTTTAAGGCTTGGAACATTTCTGATGTCCAGATACAACAACAGATTTGCAGTTAAGGTCTGTTGTCACCTCTTTGACACATTGCCTTGTCCTGCACAAGGTTTAACTAAGCAAGGAAAGCTGTCGGAAACAATCATTTAGAAAATATGCAAAACAAAAAGGATGTCTCTGAAAACATGTCTGCTAAGTTTCAGATCAGCACGCGTTGTCAATCATCAGAAGACAAGACAAAAAAAAAAAATCACAAAAATTCTGTAGTAATAACTGTATTATACCTCTTTTTTTTTTAATACCAAAGGATAACCAGACTTCATGGAAATTAAACAGGAGAATTTTCTTTTTTTTTTTTCAAAGCACAGTAAATTGAAGATTGCTTTTCCAACAAAAAAAAAAAAGGGACAGAATTATTTGCAATAGTGTAGCACAAGTGCTTCAGTCAGATCATGGTCCTGTAGGGCAGGCCCTATGTCAGGAAAAGTGTAAGAAACGTTCCATCTCTTTTGGGTCATTTAAGAGGTATGCACAAGAGACTTGCAGAAACAGAAATAATTAGTGTCATCCACAGATACTCATAACACAAATAACCTATCACAAACAGATTTTTGTTACACACTAAAGTGCACGTTTGTCAAATATGCAAACACCACCTCCTATTAAAAAAGGTAATTTCAAATTATGTGGTCAAAAGCACACTTAGGACTGCATTTTTAGTGATATTTGGTGACTTTAGCAGTGACAGAGAGCTTTTCCCTTTGCAATCCCTTTGTCTTAAACCAGGACACAAGGATAAATAAGATTTTCACTACAAATCTTTTGACCTGTTTGCACAAAAAAAGGGAACTGTGCCCTTTTCTCTGACAAAGAGAATCTTTAAATACAACTGTATGAAAATATAACTTAAATATAAAAGTCAAATAGATTCAAGGAGACTTGGAAAAAAATCTTTGTTCCACCTATTATTTCCATAGGTACCCGGTAGGAAGTAAACATTTGTACTTAAAAAAATAATGTTAAGTTACAGCTTGTAACCATAAACTATTCTGCTCTAGGAATTATGCTGCAAAAGCCAGTTTTAGTAATAAAACACACTCCTTTAACTTGGCTGATTCTGACGTCTTTTTGAGAACATTTTAAACCGTATCATCAGTAACCATAAGCGAAAGATTGCTGTATGTTTTCTGTGATCTTCTCCAAAATGTCAGATACAAATCCCGTCAGCGACTAGTCCTTAACAACGCTGCTTCTCACATATCATGAAAAGACATTCTTGCATAATTCGTCAGTGTGTCTGTAGTGCAACTGAACTGCAAGTCTTCCAACTCTTTGCATTCTGTTGGTAGACCTTGCTTTTAAGTCAGTTTGTATGAAAAGGGAGATGCAATTGCAACATTAAAACCCACTGACTGAAGTTTTTGCCATGAAACCTGCAAATACACAGGTCACGGAATATGTCATACAGGTAGACCAAAACGATGCTTCTTTTTCTTAATGGGCTTTAAGCTGGTCAGTCTACGCAGATCCTCTTCAGTGTCTGATTCCTCCATCTCATCGTCCGCTGAAATAAGGATCTAAAAAACAAATTGCAGCTTCTGAGTAACATGGATCAAAGTCAAACTCCTCCTTCATTCTACTTCTAACCTTTTACTTTTTTTATGCTTGCAAAGCACCTTATTATTTGCTTGAGAAAGAGCTTGCAGAACATAATTTGGATTTACTGCCAATACTATCAAACATCATCACATATTCTATCTGGAACCTCCAGTAAATTTCGAAGAAGATGGATGCATATTAAAATCTGCTACAATCACTGACTCCAAACCCAAAGAAGTGATTCCTGTACCTCCAGAGCAGTGAGGGCAGCTTGCTGTTAAAATGAGAGAGAATATATAAGCCCTGTATCCACACTGGTAATATTAAAGAAACCCCCATATAAATACTACTGCCTAAACTGCAGAAAAGTTACATTAACCAACTAAAGCTAGAACAACTTACCTTCAAAGATACCACCCCATCCTTCAGGTGACCTGAAACCTGCCCACTTAATATAATTTAGAATAAAATTATGCTAAGGCAAGGATGTAAATACTTCTCCAAAATCAGGCCAGTTGCCTCCACCAGCTTCCGCTCTCTTTAAGCTATTAACCTCCCTCTGAATTAGAATTGTTTTGTATTCCATGTGGGTCTTTTTTTTTAGAAGCATTCGTGACAGTTCACTTGTGATATTTAAATACATTATTATGTCTTCCTGCCCATCTGGCAGGAAATTAACTACCATGAATGGTGCAACAATGCCATTTTTCTTAACTGGTTTTCAACTGCGAATGCTAGGAACTACTGTTAGAGGTGCATGCAAAGAAAATCAATAGTAAGTTGACAGTATTACAATTAAATCGATGGCATGAGTAATGAACTGGATTGATGTTGCATTAATTGCAATAATTAACTATACATACTTCTGACTCTGACTCTTCGTGCGATGCTGCTCTCCTGTATCGGACTTTACTTCCATTTCTTGAATCTTGTCCTGCTTCCTTTTCTTCAAGTTTAGCTTTTGTTTTCCCTTTCTTCATAAGAAAATTGTCTACTACCCAGAACATTAACGCCTATTAAAGAGAAGGGGGAAGTGACAGTTCAGCTTTTCTCAGAGTAGCATATGTTCATTCGGTCAGTATCTGGACCGAATTAGGAAAACCTGACAGCAATTCTGAGTTGGCCAAACAGGTAAAATTTTGTATAGGTATAGAGTGACATGGCTTATTACACATTGCATGAATGCTCTAGAACATAGCTACTTTATTCCTTTGTAGAAGAGAATAAGAACAGTATCTGCTATTCAGAGTGATCATATACTAACTCTTCATGTAGGAAAGTGAACAGTTTAGGCAGACATCTTAGTGAAACAGACTTTTGTTTCCCAAAGGATAAAATCCACACTCGAACAAATTAATGAAAGAAAAAATAAAACACCAGCAGTTATTAAATACAAGGACACCTACCACCTCTGGCTCTAGTCCCTAAATTCCAGATTACTGGAAGAGCATGCTTTGGGAAGGATGACTGCGCACTTGCCCTTTTCCTCTGCTCCACCATAGGCCAGCCACTATTAGCTACGGTGAGACACGGGATACTTCACAGTACAGCTATCCTTAGCCCAACTGTTCCCTAAAGCAAATTTAATTGTAATTTTATCATCTCTGTGTCAGTATTTCAGTATTACATTCGATCTCCTAAAGTCATCAGCCCAAAGAAGTCTATGAGGCATTTCTGCACCTCTTCTGAGCCTGGTTACTTAACTCAATACAGAGTTCAGCTTTGTAAAATCTACATATCCAGGCGTTTTATCCATTCTTTAACACCCTTCCTCTTTAAAAATTAACTTAAGCACCAAGGTATGCTGTGCTTTAAGGACTAACATTAATTAATCAACACATGGCAGGAAGATATCCAGGTAAACATCTCAGAGAAGCGTACAAGTTGTACTAACATTAACAAAGAAGGGAACTATCAGCATGACGATAGCCAGCTCCAACTGGGGGTTCTCTATAGGATTCAATAAAGCTACCTGTGAAAAGAAAAAGATTAAGTTCAGATCATGGCAGCACGTGCACATAACTGGATTAGTAAGTTCATATACTAGTTAACACTATAGAAATAATTCATATGAGCCAAGAAAGGACAGCTTTCTAGAAAAGGAAAGTACTTAGGACAGCTTATAAATTACCACAGATAAGTAAGTGGGGCTGGCACAAAACTTATGTCTGTCATTTTTGTTTACCGAAGTCTGAAGAGCTGTGCTAGAATAGTCTTGAACATTTCAGAGCTCCATGCTCCTCATGAATATGTTTTAAGTTCCATCTTTAGGAAATTTAAACAGACCAGTGTTTCACAAAATACACAGTAAGGAGAAGACAGAGTTCCCAAAGTAGTGCAGAGCATAAAACACGGAGTAACTGGTTTTAATGGTGCTGTAACACCATGCACCATCACTTTGAATATTACGTTGCACGGATTCTACCAAAATAAATATTTATCCAGTCATCAGCAATGGCTTCACTAATCCATTGCAAGTTACTAAAATTCTGCAGTTGAAATCTATCAACAAGGTCAGGCAAAGAAAATTCTTTAAAATGCTACAAGAAGCAACACAAAATAGCTGTAAATAAGGGTTAAAGAATTATGAAAAGGAAGAACCACTTAGTAGCTTCAAGAGCACTAAGACAAAGAGTTAGAATAAAATTTTATATATTGCATTGTATAAAACCCTCCAAAATATGATAGGATATTCCTGGCAATGAATGCCAGAAAGCCTAATTAGCAGTATCCTAATCAATCTAAAAGAGCATACCACTACCACAGAATTAAACAGCACTGACTGTAGACAGTTACAATGCTTGAGCCAAACCAATCTATTGCTTTACAGCTTCCACCTGAAATTCATTTGCCTGCAAAATGCTGTAAAAATACAAACCTCTTTCCACTGAGGTATAAGAAGCACTATGATGATGATGGTTTTCTCAAATGTCATAATCATTATGTACAGAGCACATTGGCCCAGCCAAGCACTGCACTGCAGCGGGTCACCTGTAAGAAAGAAAAAAGGTTCAATGCATGCATAGAGTTGATTTTACTTCACAACAAACATTTTAGAAAAGCAGAAGTAGAAAAGGTAGGGCAGCTATATCCTCTTAAAGTGCCTTCTCCAACTTCCTTAGTGCTGCTCCTTCCCCTCCTTCAGCCTCACTCCAACTTTCAAAAAGGATCAGTTAGAAACTGAATATAACAGGACTTCATCCAATTCAGCAGCACCTGGTTATATGCTCACTGTTTTATATAAACTCATGAAAGCAAGACAGACATAGTTGCATTTTTGTTTCTCATCAAATTGTTATTTTTGCCCGTCTATCATGAAGCATTAAGCTTCTTAAAAGGGAAAATGTAATGGAAACACAGCTGGGGAAAAATAACTTTTCCTTCAGTCTAAGTAGAAACATGATGATTTCTGCCATTCTCCCTAGGCTACCTTAACCACATTTTTCCTCTCTACAAAGTTAGTTACCATAACTAACCAATCATAAATGAAGCAACAGGTGCAAGACCTGCTATGAAAAAAATAATTGAACAAAAAATTAACATCACGTTTTAGTTTCTACTTGAAAGGAGTTGAAATTCTGTTGCACTGCATTGCGGCAGAGTGAAAACCTGAATGCATTATCTGCCAGGACAAATTGAAGACCATAAATACCTGAACACAAAAACTTATGTGGACTATTATACTCTACAAAAGCAAGGAGAAGGGGGAAAAAAAAGAAAGAAAGAAAGGAAAAAGAGGACTGGTATGCCTAACAAGCTTTGCAGGTGAGCTTAAAGCAGCACTTCACTGGAAACTAAAATGAAGCTTTGGAGGTGGATGTTAGCTCTTTAGTCTTTACGAGAGTCTTCTGCAATATCTTCAAAGGCATCTTAACACTTTTAGCCTGGGGATGAATAATGGGCAATGGAAATTCAGATGCCTTTATGTATTTGTAATGCATAATGGATACTTGCTACTTCCTTTTCTGGAACATTTCTGAAAGGCTTTCAGTATTAATACTTGGTAATAGTCTTGAGACTTACTGTTTGCTTCTTAAATGCTATGAAGAGAAATTGATAAATTGCACTGGACTCCAAAACAAAGAAAACTTCCTAAACAAGTTTTACAGTAAGAGCCAGTGATCAACACTCAATAGTGTTGGAAACTCATCAGTGTAGTAAAATGGTTAAAATGCTCAAATTTTACAATTATATACTGCAGTTTATGGCTTCTGTTGTAAAAAAAAAAGTTAGAAAATCTGAAAGGGGAAACACCAGTAATTCAAAGTTGAGCAACTTCTTGCTTCTTCTGAAGATACAAAGCCTGAATTAAATTTTAGTAATTAATTTCTATACTCCATATTTTTATTAGCATTCTCTAGTTTATGGAAAAAAAAAAAGAAAGAAAATATCTAGGTTTAGCTACAGGCTTACCATTGAAACTACCAGCTTATTCTAGGCTCTTTTCCAATCTGTATTTAATTCCTAAAAGCAAAGACAGCTATAGCAATTTGCATCTATTCTAACTCTGCCACATGAGATTTTGTACATCCAACAATTGTGAAACTCTGTATTAAGAGTGTTGTGCACTATCACCAATGAACGTTTTGTTCCATGAGGTTTTTGTGGGGAAGGGTGCTGGCTTTTGGAGTGGTTTTTTTTGTATATGACTGAAAATGGAAGTTGTATATGTTAAATTCTACTTGAGGATTTTTGTGTGCATCTACAAAATTATCTCTCAGCTCTAGTTACAAGCAGAGAGAACAGGGATGCTGTCTGCTTTGAATTTACCAAGTCTTTTGACAGTCTCCCAATAGCATCCTTGTAAAAAAGTTGGGGAGATAAAGACTGGATGGGTGCACATACAATTCTGACAAAGGAAAAGAGCTTTCACAGTGAGAATGGTTAAGCACTGCAACAGGTCATTCAGAGGTGTTCTTAAGTCTCCAACCATGGATGAATTAAAAATTGGTCTGGATCACGTCCTGAACAACCTGCTTTAGCTTTGAAGGTAACACTGCTTTGAGCAAGAGGTTGGATTATGTCACCCCTGGAGATCCTTTCCAAGCAAATTTTTTCTACCATTTTATAAACCATGCAATTCAAGGGAAAAAGTAGTTAGTAACATCACCATATCCAGGAGGTGTTTCCCAGAATATTTGGGACACCTGTATGTTCAAAGATTCAGTACACATACTCAAATTAGAACTTTAATGTTGAAGCCATAAAGCTCTCATTTCATTTCTAAAGTCTCTGGCAGTCTCTCTTGAATTCTGATTTTATACCTGTCATGTATAAATTACATGTCTAGAATAAACTAGCAAATCAGTAGAAATCTTGTTACTGCAAGAAAAGTGCATTAAGACTGAAAATGAAAAATCCTGAATCCTCAGCAGTGACAACTGTAGCAGCATTTTTTGAAAATGCTGGGCAATGAAAAACTAGTCTACACTAGTGTATACGACTTTCATCAGCTCCTTTGTAGAAGCATGTTTATAGACAGCTCTTGAAGAAAATACCTGTGATTCCTCTATCTTGTAACTTCCCTCTGTTCCTCAGATCCTGAGAAATATTATTAAGAAAATGCCAACTCACAGAACTACTCCAAAATAAATTTTAAAGTTTCAAAGTAAGTGCTATCTACCCTATATGGCTATAAGTAAGTTGCTCTGCAAGTTGCAAACAAAGAGTTAGAGGGAAAAGATGCATCAAATACAATTTCTAAGCTTTGCCATCCGAGAAGCAAAGACAAGCAAAGAGACCACAGCACGATTTCGTTGCCAAGAGTTCATTGTCACCAAGAGGGATTTAGTCACCTGTTTTCTACTCGCAGCAGCTAAAGTAGCCTAAGACAAGAAGGGAAGGAGAACGCAGGGAACATTCTTTTCAGTACAGATCATGACTGCTCTTCTCTTTACATGCTCAAGTATATTAACCAATTCTGCACTTCTATTAAAATCCAGCTGCTGATGTAATGAATCTGAAAATATGAAACTGGAAATATGAAGTCAAATCTAATAAACTTAAAAATTCTGATATAAAAAAGCCCTTGAGGGAGCATCATGCTACTTTGCTCATAAATCAGTCAGCAGTGCTGTTCTGCTGTACAAACAACAACTGTTTACGAATGCTGATATTTTGGTATCAATTCTTTCCTTGAGGCATATATGCTTAAAAAACTATCCTCCATATAAAGAAGAGGCTTTTAAAACCAGCAGGACACTGCTATTTTTGTGACAGCTTCAAGCAGTGAATCACCAGGGATCAAGTAATAGAGCTAAGAAGGGAAATGAGCTCACAGTGAGAATTAACTTGAGACAAATGATTATTTAGGCTCTAGAAACACAAACAACATCGCTCAATCACAAGAAGAGACTTGGGTTTGGTTTGGGGAGGAGGGGGGGAGCTCTTGTTTGTTTTCCCACACTTGCAAACAAACTGAAATCACACTGATCTTCAAGCTGAGGGCTTGGCTTTACTGCTACAGATAAAATGCCCAAAGTCTCTGATACCTTTCAATGAGCAGGCACCTCACCACCCATGTACGCTAAACATCCATATTTAACTTCAAAATACTAAGTCTAAACACGCTTGCGACCCCACAGGACTGCATTTTAGCCCCCTCTTCTACCCTACTTAATTTAATTATTTTAATAAAGAATCTTATGAAAAATAAGACAACAATTTTCTTGGAGCCAAAGTGAAAAATTTTCAATAAAATAGTGACATGAGGGTTTTCACTTCAGAAACAACAGTAGTACTCAACAGAAGAGGGCAGCAAACAATCCAATGCAACTTGTTCTTTTTAGACAGAATTTTTACACAGGGTCTAACCTTATTGCACAGCCTTTACTAATAACTTTCCATCTGCTATCTAGTTGTCTTTATACCAGAAGCCTCTCCCACATGATTAATGGCAACACAGGTTTACAGTATGCTTTTTAATAGTCCTCATAATAGCTTGATTAAAAGCCAACACACTAAGGTCAGGAGAGCACATTAATGAAGATACAGAAAGTTAGTCACTAATAAAATGACTTACATAATTTTATACATTGCCTATACACACACAGAGAGAAAAAATACTTGATAAAGAAGTTTAGGTATTTCAGATCTTCAACTCAAAATGACAAAAAATCAGTCACAGACCACCTCCACAGCGGAACACAAGTTCACATGTTGATTTTAAGAGCTTAGCTACTGCAGTCACAGATGCCTCAATAAAATAAATGCCTCAACTAAAATAAAAACAGGTTCATTTTGGAAGTCATTAAGAGACAGAAACAAATTTCAGGAGAGTGAATGTACTCCTCACATCCTCCCATCCGCACAGACCGCTTATTGTTAAAAGGACATTAGAATGGGAGAGAAGAGGTTACACAAGAAAAAACAGAATGCTACTAGGAAGAAATAGTATTTGAAATCTAGTATTTGACATGATTACAAGTACCTACCTATAATTGTAACAGACACACCAAGCTGAAGGCTTTCAAACATCTTTGAAAGACTTCAAGGCAAATCAACAATCAGAAAAAGGGACTTTGGGCAATAGGTCTCAAAGCTCAGTCAGAAAGTGTCGTTCAGCCCTGTCTCGGCTCTTTCCTTGTCCTTTTCCCTTCTCTGGGCATCGGTGCTTACCTAATTCCCTAGAGACCCAAGTCTGGGGACTGATCTGGAGGAACTATTTACTTTTCTACATATGGTGAATTTTCTGATGGTTTAGCTCTCTGAATCAGTTCCCTGAAGAGCCAGATGTGCACCAGTCCAAGGAAAGGAGTGGAAATATTGGACCGTGGCATGCGGAGAAAAAAGCAAATAAACAGGGTTGTGGCTGTGCTGATTTAAACAGCTTAAATGTTCATAAATTGTACCCTAAAAGATACATACTAAATCTACATAAATCTAACAAAAAATGCCCTAATGGTATAGGCAGTTATTTCTCCTAAGACAGTTGTTTGTCATCATCTCTATTTTAAACCTCTGACATTAAAGCAAAAAGCAATTAATGCTATTTGATTTAATTGTAAACCTCCCAAGCTTTTAAAGCATGTCAACTTGGCAAGGCCTTTATTCTTAATTCTGTCAGCCACTTAGGATCATTAAACACAAAGAAACCTACAGAACCAAAAACACTACCAAAGACAATTATGAAACTGCTATGAAAGCTTTTGTTAGGCAAACATTATTTTAACTTTTTTTTCCCTAAACCATAGGGTTTTTTTGTTTATTTGTTTTTCTCTCTGATGAAGAGCCGTAGTTCTCTTATAAGGCAACCTCTCCCCCCATTCCTATCTCAAGGAGCTTTAAATGTAATTTTTAGCATCTATACAGAACTGCCATTCCCAGTCAGACTAAGCAATCTGAAAATAACAGGTTGAACAGAATTAAGTGATGATGTTGAGTATGTATGATGCTCAACTGCATCTGCAAATCCACAATTTCTGCAGATCAGTGGCTAGTGTAATGGAAGACAAATCCCACAACTTCACATGGAAGCGATTTCACTAGTCTATCCCTTAGCCTGTACAAAAGACCTATGCATTTTTCATCAATGATACAAGCCCTACGTGCAGGAGCTCGAGTGATCATTACTTGAGGACAAGCACAGGCCATCTTGCCATTCTCTTCACTGAAGGTATGTGGTTGTTTACTTTAAAGAGGGCTGCCAGAACTCTTAGCTGGTATCTTCAGGCAACAGCATGTGGTTCAGCGAAAGCTTTAATGGGAAATGACCTTCCAGCTATCATTTAAAAGTGTTTCAGCGTAAATTTATCATACTCTTACTTTTTCCATAAGATTAGTCAACAGCATAATTTGTTCAATCACTCCTAAAAAAAATAAGTATTCAAGTGGTTGATCCAAACTCACTAAATGCTTAGAGACTCATAGAGCTTTCTAACACAGAAGATGCATCCTGAGATACAGAACTTAAAAGAACCCTCATGACAAGTGAAATATTAAAATTACCACTATAATAATTGTATAATGATTTTAAGCTGATTTAACCACTAGCTGAAATATTCTGAGATTCTATCCTGAAAATCACTTCAGTGCAAGAACAGAAACATTTACCATATTCACCAAAGCGAAGGGACTCCCACTGCTGCCATTCCACAATGCTGCTGACTGCACGTATACCAATGTAGATTAACAGCATTCCTAATGTGGCATCTAACAAGAAGTTGATAAGGTACCTGAAAGGAAAAACGTAAAAGAAAACAAGGAGCAAGGGTCCATTTTCTACAGGCTCAATGTATTTTAACACCATGACTGATAGAAGATCTGTATATATGTTGAGAAGCCAGAGTACTGAGAATAATCATTTACCCACTTCTGCAATTACATAGAGAATTTAAAATTTAAATAGTTTTAGAAAAGTCTCAATATTTTGTTTCTGTCCTTAAAGTTAAGCTCCAACTGCTATTTTCATGAACTCTGGTGCGTGCACATGCACACTCTATTCAAACTCCAATATTCATTTTACTCCTTTACATTAAAACCAGATTTCCTTTTTACCACTGCTCAGCTCATTCTACATGGAAAACCTGTATTTGAATAAAACCAAAGGAATAAAAGGAATAAAAAGAGAAGATATCTGAAAGACACCTCAAAGAATACGAAAGTAAAAAACCCAACCCAAAATGTTTTCATTCTGAGAGGGAAAGACACTACAACTCAGCAGTTTTTCTTGCTCAAGGGAGCCCCCTCCTAGCCTCAACAAGGAGCAACAAGCAGTGGAATGCCATGCCTAGAGATACAGTCACTATCTTGGCCAAATTTCAATTTACTTAGCATTGGTAACTCGACATTACTGTGGGTTTCAAATTAATTCTTAGGTTCATTAAATGATGCAGCTGAAATTCAGAGCATTTTGTAAGTCAGTTTGGTTAATTTACTATCACCAATTTTAGCTTAAGGTAAACTCTAGAGTCTATAGGAACTTATCTGCAGGGATAAAAATAGCAAATCAGAGACCTGTGGGCTTCTGCTGGCTGTGGAAACAAATCCACGTGGACAAAATAGTATCAGAAAGTGGAAAGCAAAGACAGAATATGTGCATTCAAAGTGGTAAAGGAGAAGCTATTCTGACTCAAAATCCCATGCAAGAGCAGCTCAAAAATAAACATGAGGCAGACGTGCCTTGCTTCAGACAAGACATACCCATAAACTTTCTAAAAAAAGTTATTTTCTAATACTTGTGTCAGAGTTTTAATGAACTGTGTATTAGACAAACATTAAAATCAAGCTGTAGTGTTTGGCAGAGGAAACTCAGCAATTACAAGCCTACACAAGTCATTTTAAGGCCACAAGGGGCTGCTGTAAGTCTACAGCAGGAAGGCAGCCATCAGGAGCAGGGAGGAGAGATGTGCCAACACCTATTTCACATCAAATTACGGCTCACAGCACTGGCCAAGTATGCCTGATATTCCCAAGCACATCAGGCTCACTACACATAGGCAACACGCTCATTCTCTGATGCGCTGCGTTAACCCTGCTCACATGTAACTGGTGCACCAGCATAAACAACAAGACAAGGTGATGCCACTATCCGATAAATGCATTTGGCCAAGAATTAATGAGTAAAAGGCTGGGGTTCATACCAACTTCTTGGTGTACGGCATACAGCCAGCTGAGTACTCTGCGCTATGGAAGAGTGCTGTTTGCTTTTTCTATTTAAAATTCTTCAAACAACAACCCATCTGTCAAAGTGTTTTAACAGATGTTTTATCAGCTTTGATATGATCACATACCTGCCTGAATTACAGCACTACATTCCCAAACTAACAAATGGCAACTTCCAATTGTAGTTCTTTCCAAGCTTTGAACCACAATGTTTACTGAAACTACATTTTCTGGTTTTGTTCTGAAAACACCCCACAAACTACGTAACACGAAAGAACAGAAAACTACTCATGTTTGAATTTTCTGAGTAAAATTATTATTTAAAGTCACAGACAGAAATGTTGCTTTTACTCACTAATTTTGACCCACTTGTACACTTAAGATATATTTTTCCCAAGAAAGGACAAGTGGCTTTGGTTGATACAACATGTTATTTTTTTTTCTGCTAACAAGGAGGACCTGTACCCTTGTCTGAGAAATTATACAGCTCCACATTGTAATTTTTGTTATCTTGGGAACAGCGAATAACAGTTCTCTACCTTGCCCTCTTACTTGTTCTGTGTCACGCTACACTTACATGGAAAGTGGTATTTAAAAATGAAGTTATGGACTATGTTAAACCATGTAGAAGAGAATGCACATGTTAACAAAGCTTTTATGTTGAAAACTCAGTACACAGCACAAAGTTATTTTTAATTTTAAAATATCGTAATAAACTATTGAGCTTTAGCTTTAAACACTGACATCTTTAGGCATGCTTTGGTTAGCTTACTTAAATATATAATTGAATATATAAAAATGGAATGAAAGCAATTTGCACCTGACAGTTTTTAAATCTATCAGGAAATTCTTAAATCAGTAAGCAAGGAAAAGCCTACAATGATGCCTGGTATTACTGAAACTGTCACAATCATAACTTAAACTTTACAGTTAACGTGTTAAAATAAATGTGTTTTCCCTACCAAAGTGCTTTGTGGTGGGAAGAGAAAAGCAGTATTTTACTTGTACATTTATAGCATGTAGGAACACAAAAGAAACAGAGGAGGAATAAGGGAAATAAAACAGGCTTGTGATGCAACACAAGCATATTCTTTGAGCTGTGTAGCTCCTTTGTTTACCAAAGGACAACAGTGAGCAGATGCCATTGAAGAAACTGGATTGGTTTCTAAAGGGCAAATTACTAAGCTTTTAAAAGTAATTTCACAGCCTCTATTACCAGAAATGTGTAAGCTTCTTTGAGCAAAAGCTCTATCAAGAACAAACCCAAACAATTACCATTTGCTGCAGGAGCTCCTGTAAAGAGCCTGACGGGGTCTTAGTCATAAAATCTTCAGGTTTAATATACTACAGTGAAATGCTTATCTACTTAGTCACACTGCTCCAAGCGTGACATTGCAAAATTAATTTTTGTACTAACTGCCTGGGTACTAAGCAAAATTTCCTGCTTTTAACCAAATGAAAATAATACTGCAGTAGTTAATGTAGGTTTTAGAAGAAAATACAAGCGTGAATGATTTTTGCTAAATATCCCTGAAAGCAACCTGACTTTATATTAAAGCCTTGCTGCAGTGAACAGTGCAGCTGGAGGTCAGTGTATACAACTTGATATTCATTTCCTTTGGTCCCTAGCACCTCCTTCAGTAAATAGCCTCATATTATAATGTGCACCCTAAATCCTCATTCATTAACTGGAGAGAGAGAGAGAAGTAGTAGGAGTTTACCCTCGGTCTAAAATACCGCCCAGAAAAAGCCTTCCTGGGTCCTGCCAGCCATGAACTAGAAAAGCAGAAGAGCTGATCCTTGATTAACTAAGCTTAAACCACAGGTTTTCGGAAGTGATTGATTTTTACCATGAAAATGCAAGGTATAGCTGAGAAACCGATTATCATCCACATACACCAAACTCAACAGCAGAACTTCCATAAAGACCAATTATTCTGTAATTAAACACTTACAGTGAACAAGGGTCTTCTTCTGTAAGGTCTGATAAATAGACATTTGCAAAGTGGATGAACAACATCCCAATGGCTTGCTTGGAAGTATCTAAAAACCTGTATAGAGTAAAGAAAGATTTTAAGACACACAGAACTGTTTACAACAGTCGAACATTCAAATTAATTTTATTAAAATTCCATCTTAATTGCTAATTTTTTTCTTCAAATGAGAATACCAGAATGATAAAGTGTCATGGTATTTAGCTTATTTAATAGTGTTCCGTTTTAAATTCTGCCCCTTTTTCTTCTTGAATATTGGTAACAATAAACCAAATCATACTAACTTGAAACCTTACCATTGTAAATTTGAAGTCTAGGGATATCCTCTTGGTATCACATGCATTATCCAAGAGCTAATCCTCCCTAAATCTAGCTAAGTCTTTAATAATCTCCTGTAAACAATGAGTATCCCAGCCTCGCTAGATATTTCAGTCCTTTTACGTTTATGCATTTTCAGCAAGTTTATGGCACAAAAATAAAGTCCTCATTATGTGCTTGTTGGTGAACAATTTAATAGCTGGCTAATGATTCCTTTACCTACAGTGTTTTGCTAAAAAAGCCAACATATTTTTCACCTGAAAGCATGAAGTGGTCTCACTGAGTTATATCTAAAGTACAACAGCTTACACCACACTGCAAAAGAATTACAAACTTGAAAGCATTATATCCAAAGCAGATGGTGGACTTAGAGAGAAAATAGTTTGCTACTTACAGGGAAAACATAAAACACCTCACTTAGGTACTGATTCATTATTGACTCTGGTCCTTACCTGTCCTTCATCATCCTTTGCACAAAACCAAAACTTCCAGTGGATGTTTTATTAAATGTTCAGTATAGGAATGGTGTCAAAAGTATTCTATAGGCAAGAGTGTGTTCTTTATACAGACCAACACCCATTTTGCCTGTTGTTTCCATGTCTAAAATGATCCAAACACCCCAACAGAGATCCAAACAACATTTTATGCCTGAATTCATCTCCCCTCCCTGAAAATTTGGTCTTAAACTTTATTCTCTTGCATTCATTGCATGACATAGAAAGCAGAGTGTTGGAGATGAGGCAGGAAGCCATGAGTTACTTACCTGATCAGTACACCATACTACAAATAACAATACTCAAGTCCCAGAACAAGATTCTTTGCTTAAAAATTAAAGGCCATCACCACACTACTCAGAATTTCAGGCTAAGGTAGACTGTAGTACATAAGGATTTTGTATTAATTTTTTTTTCAAGAAAATAAAGGTCAGCATTAGTTACAAAAAGCAGCATTGTATGAGATGAATTTAAACATCTGAAGTCTTCAACAACTGAAATGACAGCTTAACATTTACACCAGTCTCAAAACTAGTACAGGTTATGTTGGCATGGCTACAATCCAACAACTTTTAAAAAGTAATAAAAACAAATATACTTTTTATACCTTGTATTCTTTTATGGCTTATGTATTTATACCTTCTACCATACTGTTTTCTATCTTATACATAGCAGGATAGCTACAGAACATGGGATTTCGTTTAAGCCCAGCGGAGAGCTTTTTGTAAGCTTGTGTAAGTTTGTAGATGTTCAGATGCATCTTGGGACAACTAAGCTTCCGTCTTTAGGAAGAAGTGCAACTTTCAGCTTTACGTCTAAATGCACGTCTTTGTAGAGATTCCTGGAAGCGTTTAGTAAGAAAGAACTAGTGGGGAAACACACAAAAGGTAACTTTTTCATTGACTCATATTTTGGTAACTTTGGTGACTGTCCGTCAGCAATTTTTTGTCATCACTTTTTTTTTTTTTTAATCATTATATGCAAATAATCATTCCTGCAATTTCTAAAACATGCAAGAAACAAAATTTAAGAATGAAACATGCAGAAACATTACCATATCCTCCAGGGACGTCTTTCATGCTTTGGTTCTCTGCAGCGTTTTACTAAGAAGAAAAAAACAAAATAATAAATGAAGACAATCAGCACTTCCCAAACCAACAAAAATATAGAAAAGCAAAAGCAAATAATCTTGCAGAAGCGTTACATTCACTTTATCAACCTCTAAGGATACACATTTAAAGAAACTGGCTCCCTTCCATCACCTTCAAGTTTCTATAGATCCATCGTCTGACTGCCAATATACCTCACATGAAAAAATAATCTATTACCAACCACTATTTCATTGGCCTTAGCTTTTATGACCACCCGTCCAGAAAATTTAATTTCCGATAGTAAAGCAGGTATTACAAAAAGCTGTTTCTTTCACTCACTGGAGACCAAAAGTCAGACCAGAAAGTAGTCTCGCAATATAGGGGCAATCTATAATATCAGAAATAAATCAAGTGAATTAGGAACAGGACAAAGATACTCTTTGACAAAGTATATTTATTTTATGGATGACAAATTAGACTTCCGTGGGCAAACCAAATTGCAAGCAGGACAGATTTTTTTAGTCAGATAATCCCTTCACAAAAAGGTTGATACCTGTCAACATATTAAAAAGTAAAAAAAAAAATCCAGTATTAAAATCAACACCAACTATACAAAGGCAAAAAAAATTTGACACATTTGACTATTTCAATCTTGATACAGTTTATAATACAAATGGTTTGGGTATCTGATTGAAAACTGCTCTGCACACCCACAAAGGAGGGGGAGCCCGAATCAGACCCTGCCTAGGTAGCCCCAGGGCCATCAGCCCATCCCAGGTCCATCCCCCCAAGCCCAGAGGAGCAGAAGCCAAAAGGCAGATGGGGGAACACAAATTATGGACTTGGCGGAAGGGACAGTGGCTGGTCCATACACTTGTACCGTCTGATCTGCAGTTTGTTCCCTCTTCTTAGGAAATTCCATTTCTAGCTCTTTCTGGGCAAGAAAACCCTTTTCCCTTCTGGGAACACATGCTCAGCCCTGCCACAAGTTGGAGCTGGGGCAGGGAGCTGCAGCAGCCTCGCCTCTGCTAGATCTGCCCGAATTCTGTAACACAGATTTATTTTCTGTTACAGCTGCAAGATTCTAATTCTTTACATATCCCAAACCCAAAGATAACAGGGTAATGGAAAATTTTTCCACTAAGGATGGGTTTTATAAATGGGTTTTACATCCTCCTTCTGTTCAAGATTCAGTGTCACTCACCAGTTCCTGCAATGTAAGTCTTAAAAAAAAAAAAACCAAACTATTTATGCTCTTACTTCAGAAATTATCTCTTAAAAAAAAAAATTAAGCCCCAGTTCCCCTCCTCCCCTTCAGCTTGCAGAGATTCTGTCTTAAAAGGCACAATCCATAGCACGTATACATCAGGCAAAGTATCAAGATGTATTTTAACCTGCTTCTCCAGGTATTAGCAATGAATTTAAGTTTTGAAGCTGTATATAAGTTACACTTACCTAGCTTACATGCCTTTAGAAAACATTTTGGTTTATGAACTAATCAACTTTTTCACAAGTAATGCAATTTTCCCCAAAGCCAACCATCCTCATAGAATACAGCATTAATAGAATTACACAAATGCCTTAAAAAAAAATAAATCACCTCCAAGGTGGTGGGGCAGGATTTGGAGAAAACAGCAGGCTAACAACTTGCCATTTTACTGTCCTGTTACCACTTCTGACAGCAGAGAGGGAAACTGTGGTTCACCCCCATATAATATGACCATTAGAAATGAAAAAGTGACAAGAGGAAAAAAACTGTACATTTACACCAAAGATGAAGTTGTAATAGCAACATTTGCCAGCAGTTTTCCCTGTGAACAGCATGCCATAAATATAAAGCTTCTGTTAAAAATGAGCAACACCCAGCTAAGTTAACCAGTTTGCTGTTTATGACAAGTCCTCGCCAGTCACACTATGGATTGCTTTAATTAGTGTCATTTTTGCACAACAGGAAGCCACAAAGCATCACAAAATAAATGCAAGAAACAGAAGTTTCAACTTACTGTGGAGTTTGCGCAACTGCAGACAAAACTGAAATTAAACTGATATGATTTACATACATCGGGGGCATGGAAATTCCAAGCTTAGGCTTTTGTCTGTTATTACTATGAAGAAGTTGTATAAGCCTGTGGATTCATTTCTTTCTCTGAAGTTTTCACAAAAAAATTGTTTTGGAAGAGGATATTCAAAACCAATTTCACTAACGTAATTTCAAATTTTATCCACACTGAGAAAAAGACTTCAGAAGGTCTGTGTTTCTCTGGCCAATTCTGAAACGTAACATTTTATTTGAGTTAACATTAAATGGGAGAGTTAACTTTGAAAGCCTTTGCAGATGTCTTTTGGGAATGTATTAAATAGCTGATCACCCCACAAACTTCTACCCCACCGAACAAAAAGAAGCAATCTGTTTAAATGCTTTGGGAGTTGCTAGCTGATGACTATGTACGTGTAGGCTTGAAAGCCCAGTAAATCCATATGAAATGGGGTTGTTTTCTCAGCCTAGTTTCTTGCAGCTCTGTGTCTGTGAACATCAGGTATTTCTGACATACGCGGGTATTGCCAGGTGTTTTCCTACCTACCCCTGATGCCATATCTGGGTTACACTGCCTACCTAGCACAATATACTATCACATCAGAGTGGTTTAAGTCAAGAGCAACTTCTCCCCCAGCAGAGGAGCTTGTTTGCTGTATGGCTGTATGCAGCTGAGGAAGGAGGTGAGTAAATTGAGCAAAAAAATCAACGGGCTGTAAATAACCACATTGGTAAACTTGGGGTCCGCAGCGTATTTGCAATTAATAAATTAATTTTGCAAGCAAGAGCCAGCACACATTTTCAAATAAAGATTCTGTAAATTTTTTAACCATCTATTGAGGTGGGGAAGGGAAAGCAATTCTTCTACTTGCCCTCCCCCAAAATATGTCATGATTGTAGATGCTCTCAGCCCCACTCACAGTTTCTCTTGGCAGTCTGCATTGCCTCAGAGTAAACTCAGAGACGTGCACTGGTGCGTGTGTCAGCTGACAGATGGATCTCAATCTGCCAGCTTCTCACTGTGAGGAGGTAGTACCGCTCCATATGCTTCAATTCTGAGCGTTATACTAGCACTAGCAAGAATTCACCATATTTAATATTAATTAACTAATAATGTTCAGAATTTCATGCTGAATTATAAATGAAGAAGGAAGTGCTGCTTGTTTATACATTCAATGCCAGAATTTTTCAGGAAAGGAAATAAAAGCACTTCTGCCAACAAGCATGTGAGCTGCCAGATGGACAGATAATAGATAAGCATATAAGGCAGAGTATCACTAATGCAAAATTCAAGTTCATTAAATTGTCTTCCTGTTTCATTAAAATTCTAGGAATAATTAATGCCAAAGTACCATGGAAGGGTTTCCAATAGTTACTTTAACATAGGAGTTTTGCAATTGGCATTCCAGAAAACTGAAGACTCATGGGAAAAATAAAGGCCGTATATAAGACTGGAGGTAAGAAATGAAGAGAAACCTCTCCAAACTGTTAATATGAAAAGCAACGCAGGAATCCGTACTTGGAATTCAGCCTTTCCTTCTCTCCCTCCCTTACCTACTCAAAAAGTCCCATGGGAAATATTTTGCTGATGTGAAGTAACTTCAATATGGATTTAAGAACTCCAAGTTTCTGGGCGGCTGCTCTTGTAGCAGCACAAAACTGGCCCAACTCAAACGTCTGAAATGTTTCTACATATCATGTATTATTGCATTTCTTAGATACATGTTCTGGCAGTTGACAATAAGAACCTTTCTGATCCCAGTAAAGATCTAAGAAGGTTTCTCTAGCTCATTAATTTGAAATTCAAAAAAGGAAAATAAGCTGAAGAATATTCAACATGCTCAATGTCCTCTGCAGCTGTACCATAACACTGCTCTTCTGATGAGAGAATTGGGATTTTCACCTGTATTTCCAGTGCCTCTCAAAACTTTTTTAAAAATAGGTCAAAGACAAAGCATGTGACAAAATGCTTCCTTTCATAAACCTCCTACACATTTCTGCCACCAGACCTCAGCAAAGCGACAGCTGAGCTAGCCAAACAGACAAAGTAAAACCAAAAAGAGGAAAGGTTAGAGTGGATAAGATCACATTTGCACATCACACATGCAAACCTGCTCACATGCATGGGCAGTTTCAGCGAGGACAGAATCAGACCCTTCTCGCAGCTGCACAGGCAATGGGCATGAGGAAACAGCCACAAGTTGCAGCCAGGGAAATTCCAGCATGATAGATGTAAAAAATTTTCCAATGAGAGTAATTAAACTCTGCAACAAGTTGCCCAGAGAGGGTGCAGTGACTTCAGCCTCATAGACCTTGAAAATTCACCTCAACGATACTCTGAGCAAGGGGACATAGGCTGGCCCTGCTCTGAGCACAAGGTGGGAGCAGGTAACATTTGGGGTCCCTTCCAACAAAAATTGGTCTGCAAGTCTAAAAATCATCTTTTTGCGACATGATGCTTAAAAGTTCCAAGGTTTGAGCCAATTACCAAAGGACCGAAGTATGGTGAGCTAAAAACCACACACACACACACGTATGTGCTGAATTTAACAGTGAGAAACCTGCTGCAGTCCAAGCTTCCATAGTGTTCTGTCACAAGAGCGATGAATCTCCTCCAGCAGGTTGGGCTTTGCTGGGCTTCCTGAATAACGTGTTGCAGCCAGGCAGATCCTCCAACACAGCCCATGTAGTGCAAGACTGTTGTGATCTGCCGGGTTACTTTGATATCAATTCACATAATTTCTGACATTCAAGACCAGTATTAAAGTTTCCAGTAGAATGCTGTTTTGCTAACTATGTACGGAGTAACAGCTGAGGAATTAAACCAAGCATTAATATCCAAACACGGAATTGGATGCAGAATTTCATATGGCTACTCTCAGACAACTGAACTATTTTCAGAACATTTGGTTATCAGAACATATGCATCAAAATTTGATCCTGCAATTTCTAACCCTGTAAAAAACCTGTAAGAACAACTACATATGCAGGCCAGATTTCAACTTTTTAAAATTCTATTTAAGAGTGTCAAAAACACTGCTCTGCTTACTAGTATCAACACTTTTTCCACAGCAGTGGGAACCATGTCTGTTAGGAACAAGCACATGCACACAAATAATTCCTGAAAATTCACACCACCACGGAATGACAACCATCAGTGAATTTTATGTTGCCTGTGATCTCTATGATACATTTGAACTTACCTCCCTTTCCCACTAAAGCAAAGCTTTTAAGAGGCTTGTTTTGCAGTTTCACTTTATCCCCCCATTATTTATTGGTAGCAGCAAAGAGAGAAAAAGAAATTAGAGATTTCCCCAAAATAGATTTTTTCTTTTTAAAATTAACTTTGCAAGAAACAACATGCCTAGTGAGAATGGGCTAAAACAATGCCTTACAAAAAAGTATACAAGTGTATAAACCATCACTTGATTGCCAAAGCTTTTGTGATACTTATGAGCTTAGCATCTCCCTATATTCATAGTTTTTAAAAAAAAATACAAACATGGGGGTGGAGGGGCTGCTTAAAGAAAGGTAATAAATGTGACTGCAAAAAAGACCAGAAGAACCAGTGGTTTTGGCATGCTGCTCATTTCTCCAGACAAAAAAGAAAATGCACTATGTTCTTGGTAATTCAATTTTTGCCCTACTGCAATTCTTCCTTCTCTTCCCATGCCCCATTAACTACAACTGAGATGCTCAAATACAGGATACCCTGAAAGCCTGCTGCTTATTACCCGACATAAGAACCCCAAAATTCTTCAGCATGTTTTTGCTTAACAACCTAGACTTGTCACCACTCTTGGACACCAATTATGCTAAAGCAGAAATTATACTGGACTAGAACAACTGATGTTCCAGCTACATCTAGCCATACAGCTGTATTGGAGAAAGATCCCAAGAACCATGGTTTCTTCATGACAAGAAGTCATGGAATAACTCACTCAAAGGAAAACTTTTTTCTAGTCAGTGTTAAAGACTGACATACTATGAAGTGCATGAGCTCACCAGCTTTGCAAAAACGATTTTTAAAACTTCTGCTAATATAGAAAACAGTATTAGCCATGCAAGTACCCAGCCTCTTTTCTTAATTCCACCATGTCCTCGGCCTCAATGGTTCTATAGATACGTGTGTAACTAAGAACTTGTCCATTAAAGAGAGTCATCCAGAGAGAAACTTTATGGAAACGCTGGATGCAAAATTTAATGACCCAGCTGGTTAGTTATTCAAGGACATTGTAAGACTTAACGATTCATTGTCTGGACAGCCATGTGGCACCCTCAAAACTGCAGACCTTATCCCAGTCTCTTCATTCCAATGTCAACAGTCAGAATAACATTGTGGCCACAGGTTTTAGGCAGCAAAAACTTTGTGATAGTTAAACGAGTCTGACCGGCACTCTAGTTAGAGCAAAGAACAAGGGACTTTGTCTTACTGGGAAGTTAAATACGCTAGTGCCAAGCATCAGCCAAGCCCAGCTATCTCATGACCAGGGCTCTTTTGTCTCAACACAGATGACACAAGATGATAGAAAATGGTGTGCCAACACTAGATTTCACATAATTTATCAAATAGGCAGCACTCCTTGCTGGATAATCACTGGAGAATTACAGTTACTGGAAGTTACCTCTGTAAAAACATTTACTTCCTACCTGCTTCCACACCCAGCTAAAACCCTGCCTGTAAGTTTTGTCCCTACAAATGTTTACTGATAGCTAAGGGAATGGCTATCACAAATTGAACCTCCCCTTCACAGTGCAGGGGAGACAAATCATTATCAGGAAAAAAATATCACTAACTTGAGCTTTGGAATAAAACAATGTTGCTTCTTCAGGAAGGGCAGTCAAATGCATTACATGAGGTTGGTGAGCTTTTTATTCCTAACACATACATATTGTAAGCTCAGAAAAAATTATCCAAATGCTTAGCTTGTGTGTTTCCAGCCAATCTTTACAAATAAGTCACATTACCTGTTGCATACAACTCAGTCTAAGACAATTTCACCAAGGCTGATGTCATGCATCCTGGTAGCACATGATAGTGTGGTTCTGACAGAAGCATTAACTTGGCTGTCAATAAAGGAAACAAATGTGTCTTAGTAGAGCATGCAGCCCAGACATACCACATCAATAGCCATTGAAATTGAGTTTGTTTCTTTTTTTTAAAAGGTAAAGCTTATTTTTAAAATAAACTAACCTAGCAGATAAAGAATTAGACAACACTTCTCACTCTCAATTGCTAACCTATTTGCTATCTTCCCAGAGACAGTAGCACTTCAGAAGTCAGAAAAAGAACGTAATACACACCCTGTAAACAGAAGTATTCAGCCCTTTACTTCCTGAAAGACACGCCAACACTACAGCAATACTAAAAATAAAGGGTTGCAAGCAGCTGCCGTAAGAACTCTAAGGTAAACAGTACAACTAGCTTAGGAAATATTTATCCAAATATAAGACAAGATTTGATCTTAGAGACAGGCATTTGTTATTCTTGCATTTAACGTACGTAGCACAGTTCGGTCAAGGTGTGCTCTATTAGAAAGGTCACAATAAATCACAGTTTCCCAGCACTTTCAGAGACAGATGCATATGCTATTGATTCCCCCCCAAGTATGATATAGCCGAAGCAAAGCAAATTTAAGCTTCCAGTACTAAAAGTGCCTGTAAGATTGGCTTTAGAAGTTTAACACAGCCCTCTTCCAAACATATTTATATGCTGAACCAGGTGTTTTTAAACAACTACCAAAAAAAAAAA